CTCTGAGCTATTAGTTAAGTTCTCCCCAAACGAGCTTGATGGGCCGAATGGCCTCCTCTCCTTTGTAAATTTCTTATGTTCTTATGACAGTTGTTTCCAATAGAAATGTAGAAATAGAAAATGCTGAGATCCACGTCACCATGTTTTTCAGTAGCTTCCAGTCTCCTGTGGCAATTTGGTTTGCCAGTTTGCTACAATTAGAAATTTGGAATTGTCCGCGACATTATGACTACAGCTTATCATGCATGCAAGTTTAAAACTTTATGCAAGAATTAATGGACACACGGAACACCTTCTGTCACATGTACATGCGTACACACACAGTCCTGGTCTGCAATCGCAGAAAAATGTTCCACACTGACTTAACAATGGTAGTACACCAAGTTTCTCTGGTATTGTGTCGGTCACTGTTTTATTCACTGTTTATGAATGGCATGAACCAATGTCAATATGGCAAAGGAAGCGAACACTGATGCGCAAATGCGCAGGAACTTTGCAGTTGAACAACCTGTATAAATCGACATAACGGAACATCTCCATACCCATGAAGGTTTGTCGAGTCGAACTAGCGGAGTTCGGTAAAGTTGGAAAGATATTGGCAGATTCGAACTTCGCGGCTCAATAAATCTTAAACAAAACGTTCTTACAACACAATATACGGGTCTATTTAACAGTGGTAAGGTAGACAATGAGCTACAACCGGATTTTCGTCCAAACAATATGTATTTACAGAAATACGGATAACATTGCTCCCTATGAGCAGTCCGCTGTCTGAGGAGAGCTTAGGGACCGTCTGCAAAGTGCAAATCGACAACGGAAAATGTCAATAACTTCGCTTCCAAAGAGTGAAGAGCCACCAAAATCACTAAAGGCTTTTGGAATGTTATCATGGTCATACTACACCCCTTAGTTTGGTGAAATGTACCTAAGTCTATTTCTAAAGAATTTATATTAGGAATAACATTCAATAACTTTGTTCCTATGAACTGTACTACCAACAAAATCACTACTCACTTCTACAGACTCATTATGGTCATACTACACCATTTAGTTTGGCGAAAAAAAGCCATTATTATTAAATAAAATGCAATAACTTTGCTCCTATCAATTGTAGTGCCACCAAAATTACTATATACATATGCAATCTTATTATGGTAGGACTGCATCACTTAGGTTGGGAAAATGTGGCTTAGTTTATTGTTAAAGGGATTTTATTGGCAATAAAATTCAATAACCTTCGTACTATAAACTGTAGTTCCACCAAAATCACTCTGCTCATCTAGTGTGTCATCATGGTCGTACTACAGCATTTAGTTTGGGGATATGTGGCTAAGTCTATTGTTAAAGAATTTTTATTGGCAATAAAATTCAATAACTTTCGTACTATACACTGTAGTTCCACCAAAATCAGTACACACATCTACAGTATCACTATGGTCATACTACAGCACTTAGTTTGGGGAAATGTGCCTTAGTCTGTTTTTAATGATTTTTTTTTACATTTTTTACTAAGAATAACTTTCAATAACTTTGTGACAGTTAAGTGTAGTTCCACCAAAATCACTACACAACTCTGCTGTCTCATCATGGTCATACTACAATACTTAGTTTGGGGAAATGTACCTGTGTGTATTTTTAAACAATTTTTATTGCTAATAAAATTCAATAACTTTCGTACTATACAATGTAGTTCCACCAAAATCACTACACAACTCTACAGTCTCATCCTGGTCATACTACAGCACTTAGTTTGGGGAAATGTGCCTTAGTCTGTTTTTAATGATTTTTTTTACATTTTATATTAGGAATAACTTTCAATAACTTTGTGACAGTTAAGTGTAGTGTCACCAAAATCACTACACAACTCTGCTGTCTCATCATGGTCATACTACAATACTTAGTTTGGGGAAATGTCCCCATTTACCCTTTAAGTGGCATACCCAGAAAAAGCCACTGAAAAAAATATTTTTTATCAGTTCTTTGCTCTTTAGGCCAATTTAAACAAAAATAAATAGTTTTTTCAAACATTGATCATGCAATTTGTTAATTACAGAGGTCTACTAAATGGTAGAGGAAGCTGTTAAAGGTAAAAGTAACATTTATGAAATGTTTCCAAAATATCAAAGCAACATCTTTGTGTTTTTATTTTATTTTTTTATTTGTTTTATTGTTATATATATATATATATATATATATATATATATATTATACCATGATGAGACAGTAGAGTTGTGTAGTGATTTTGGTGGAATTACAGTGTATAGTACGAAAGTTATTGAATTTTATTAGCAATAAAAATTGTTTAAAAATACACACAGGTACATTTCCCCAAACTAAGTGCTGTAATATGACCGTGATGAGACTGTGGAGTTGTGTAGTGATTTTGGTGACACTACACTTAACTGTCACAAAGTTATTGAAAGTTATTCCTAATAAAAAATGTAAAAAAAAATCATTAAAAACAGACTAAGGCACATTTCCCCAAACTAAGTATTGTAGTATGACCATAGTGATACTGTAGATGTGTGCAGTGATTTTGGTGGAACTACAGTGTATAGTACGAAAGTTATTGAATTTTATTGCCACTAAAATCCCTTTAACAATAGACTAAGCCACATTTTCCCAACCTAAATGATGCAGTCCTACCATAATAAGATTGCATATGTATATAGTAATTTTGGTGGCACTACAATTGATAGAAGCAAAGTTATTGCATTTTATTTAATAATAATGTTTTTTCCCCAAACTAAATGGTATAGTATGACCATACTGAGACTGTAGAAGTGTGTAGTGATTTTGTTGGTAGTACAGTTGATAGGAGCAAAGTTATTGAATGTTATTCCTAATAAAAAATCTTTAAAAATAGACTAAGGTATATTTCACCAAACTAAGGGGTGTAGTATGACCATGATAACATTCCAAAAGCCTTTAGTGATTTTGGTGGCTCTTCACTCTTTGGAAGTGAAGTTATTGACAGTATCCGTTTTCGTTTTGCACTTTGCAGACGGTCCCTAAGCTCTCCTCTGACAGCGGACTGCTCATAGGGAGCAATGTTACCCGTATTTCTTTGAATACATATCGTTTGGACGAAAATCCGGTTGTAGCTCATTGTCTACCTTACCACTGTTAAATAGACATGTATATTGTGTTGTTAGAACGTTTTGTTTAAGATTTATTGAGCCGCGAAGTTCGAATCTGCCAATATCTTTCCAACTTTACCGAACTAAAAAAAGTTGATGATCCACTAAAAAAGTGGATGATTCATTTATTGTGTGATTAATTTATTATGAATTCTGTTGAAGGAATTTAATAAATGAATACATCGTCAGTTTGACAGACTTTTATACAACACAACTTACAAAAAGTTGCGGGTCGGTCTTAAATAATGAGATCAAAACATACAGACAAAGCATGAAATGGTACAACACAAATGGGTACCAAGGAATGCTATGTTAGTTAGATCTAGTTAAATAAACACTGTTCTGAGAACATATCTACTTCATTCACCAGAGTTTAGGAAAATCTACTTAGCTTAATATGATTTTACAAACCAAAAATTTCTACAGATGACATACCTTGGAATGAAATTCCGGTCTTTGCGTGTGAATGTGAATGCTCCTGGGCTCGCAGTAATGTTGTCGGTTTAAACATCGTTACTTGGCATAATGGGCAATGGAAACTATTGCACGGCATTCCTTCGCCAAATTGACCTGTGCATCTGTTGGTCAAAATGAAAAACAAAACACCGTGGGCTTTTGAAGGAGTGTGATTACTTGAATACAATTCAGCAACACAGCGATTTGAGTCAGGCTAACTTACATTTACTGTATATATGCATTTGAGTGAGAAGTTCCCATCCTTTCTGAAGAACTAATAACTGAACATATTTAAACAACTAAAACTGTACTTACCGTTCTAGTTTCCTTCGCCAATCTCTTGCTAAACTATGAACGCGTTGCTACCGCTCGTGAGTAAAGTATCGTTTCATAGTCCACCAAACTTTATGCGCGCTTCGGTGGAACTTCAGTGACGTCATTTCCGGGCTCTCAGTGGACTTCCTGCGTGTCAGTGGACGTGAGCCTCGGTGGATGTCTGCAGCCAGAACCTTCTCGGCAGTTCCGATGCGTAATCTACAATTTCTCCTGAATATCACGTAAAGCAGTGAGAACTGGTTTTCAGTTAATTTACCTGGTAAAATAAAGTTTAAATAAATGACATAAATTCTCTAATAGTACACGTAAATTAGTGGTTTATTTATTGTTAGTTACTGTAATGTTGCGCTGCTTTATTTGGTTAATCGTCCAGTCTGTGAAGAAGGCATTCAAGTAAGAATTGCATTGTAGTATGACTCATTTCCTGGCGCGTACAATTTATATTAGGTCAGCGTTCGTTTTGACTTCTGATATTCAGATCGAGTTCTAGGTCAAACTGGTTTGTTCGACTTTCAAGAAATTCGAGTTCTAGTGAGTTCGAGAGCCAAGGTACCACTGTATATACAAATACAATAAACCTAATAAATTGCAAATAAATTATAGCTCAATTATGAGTAAATGTAAATAATGGTTCTGTGCAAAATATGCAATTTTGCTTAAAATTCCATTAGGATTCCCCTTAATATGCCCAGTAAGTTGAAATAGTGTGATAATAAGTTGAAATTATGAGATACCAAGTCATAATTATGAGATACTAAATTGAAATAATCCATGCTGTTTACAGTAGGGATGAAGTGTTGTTGCCCTCAAATGGGCATATAGTCAAATCTCAGATCCACAAGGAACAATGCGGATTTCATCCTAGTTATGGAACGCTGGACCAGCTCTACACCTTCACAAGGATACTGGAGGGTTTGTGGGAGTTTGACTAACCAGTATACACATGTTATGTGAACTTGGAAATGGCATATGACCTCAGGGGTTCATGTGGAGGGTGCTTTGGGAGTATTGAATGATATGGTGAAAGCAACGCTATAGATTTACGGGTCAAGCCTTGTTCCTACCTTCACCTATGGTTACGAGCTTTGGGTAGTGGCCGAAAGAATGAGATCACGCAAGTGGCAGAAATGAGTTTCCTTCACAAACTGTCTGGGCTCAGCCTTAGAGATAGAATGGAGAGCTCGGACATTAAGGACACGCCCAAAGTAGCTGAAAAGAGCCAGTTGAGATTGTTTGGGCATCTATCAAGGATGCCTGCTGGGTGCCTCCCTGCCGACCAGGATTAGTGCCAGAAAATGGATGGATGGATTGATAAATTGAAATTATGTGATTTTGAGATACTAAATCATCTCATAATTATAACTTAGCATCTCATAATTATGATTTTGTATCATAATATATGTAATTGTCAGACAAAGTAAAATTTTGGCTATTCTGTTGCTGGCAGTGAATTTGCCTAGGGTGCCACATAGGTTTTGACAGCCACTGGCAGAAAGGGTCAAAAATTATAATTAAAACTGGGTAAATTTTGTTATTTATTAAAATTATCTTTAGGGTTTATAGCATTATTTGCTAGATGAATTCAGAAAGGTCTATTTCTTTAGAAATAAAAACGGATTCCGACGAGGATGGGATTCGAACCCACGCGTGCAGAGCACAATGGATTAGCAGTCCATCGCCTTAACCACTCGGCCACCTCGTCTTATGCTCAATGTGTTGAAATGGTTTTAAATAATTCCCACCTCCCCTCCAAAAAAAATGTGGCAAAATTGTAGCGATATTAAAGGCAATGATGTAATTATTCATACCGCATTATATGCATTGTAAAAATAGCTTCAAATCCGCCTCACTGTGTTGTTTTCATCTTATAGTTCAAGGAGTTGTACGGTAACCAGATTCCTTGGTGCGTATGTATTCTACATTTTACGGTAAAGTTGCACACCACATAGACATGCGCCCAATGAGCCCCAAGGTAGATCAGTGCTTTCGTGCCGTATGCGTTTGATTTTGTGTGTACGGAAATGCCGTCTTCTGCTGAAAGGAGTAGAGCTTTTAAAAGCGTTTATGACTATGGGGGAGACGTGTTCGTAAGTGAACCTTAAATCAGCAACTTTGAGGGCCCTATCGATTGTAGCAGTAGATGATGATATTAACTGCTAGCCAGATGACGTAAATAGTAAAATCCAGTCTTTCTACCTAGGCAGCTAAATATCCTCTTATTAGTCGATCATAGCTAACTACCGAAAATTGTTAAAGGTTACAGGTGGCTTCTCGTGCACAATAATATATAATGTACTAAAATAAACATCCTAAGAGGCGATCTTCTGGAATGCATTTCTCTAAAAAATGCTCCGTGTTTAAAGTGGTGCTCAGTGCTCTGCTGATTGTAGCGCTCCTGCAGTTAATCTACCTGTCCTTCCTATCAAAGCTGCACGGCAAACAGCAGCGCTACAGGTATACGGAGTTATTTGGCAAGAGAAATGCGTACCAGGGAGAGAAAAACACAAGGAAAGAGCGTCTCAAGTACTCTCTGTCCTCTGGGGGCATTTTTGATAACAGTGGACAGTATCGTATATATAAGAACTTAATCAAAAGTGACTATTCGACGAATCAGAAGTCCGTTGTTGATGCCAGGTCAAATCGGATAGCGCTGGCCACGCATACGTCCATCAACAACCTCTATCACCTAGACTCGCTGCTAGAACGCTGGCAAAATCCTCTCTCAGTTGCGATATTCGTGCACGGACAGGATGTTAAGTTTGCCACTGCATTTGTCTATGCCCTTAGCATTTTTTGTCCAAATGTACAAGAGCTGGTGGACTTCCACCTTGTGTGCCACTCTGGAGAAACGGCCAGTTTCCCGGAAAAGGACAGAGAGCAGTTTGCAGGGTTGGAAGACTGCAGAGGAGTATTTGCTAAACTTGAGTCACACAGGAACAAATACCAGAACTATGCTATCGGTGGCAACATCTCGTATCCCAACAATCTGCTACGCAACGTGGCGCGAGGGGGTACAGAAGCCGCTTACATCCTGGTCATCGATATAGACATGGTGCCCAGTGCTGACCTCCATCAGCAGTTTGCCGGCATGCTGGATAGACGTGAACCTGTGCCTGATGAGGTCTTCGTCCTGCCGGCTTTTGAGATTCGGCACACCCGCAAGATCCCCGCCTCCAAGTCAGAACTAGTACAGCTGTACCAGGTGGGTGAGGTGCGGCCCTTCTACGAAGAGCTATGCCCCCGGTGCCAGGCCCCCACCAACTACTCCCTGTGGGTAAACTTGAACGGGCCTGTGCCAGGGCAGTTAGATGTTGCCTACACCCTCAACTGGGTGGACCCCTGGGAACCTTTCTACATTGGACCACGTGCCGTGCCTCTGTATGATGAGAGCTTTCGGCAGTATGGCTTCAACCGCATCAGTCAGGTAGGCCGAGGACATGGGGGGCTTTTCGGCATTTATCCAGAACTGCATTTTGAACATTAGGCTTCTGACAGTGACTTGCTATGTTGACTCTCTCTCCAGGCCTGTGAGCTCCATGTGGGTGGTTACAAGTTCTCAGTGCTCAGCTCTGCTTTCTTGGTGCACCGCGGCTTCAAGGTGATGGGCGACTTCCACAAGCACAAGGATGAGGAGAACCGCCGCAACCGTCTGCTGTTCCGAAGCTTTAAGGAGGGGCTCAAGACCAAATACCCAGCCTCCAACCGTCGCTGCTGAGGGCCCCTTTAAGTATTTCAGACATTTCGGCAGCTGGCTTTCCTATAGAGTCCCATCAAACTGAACATGCTCGGTGGGGTCTGTACACTTTGGTGACTTAACCATCATCAGTCCGGTCCTGCTTACTATAACGAGGTCTCATGCAATCATGACATGTAGACAGTATGTACAAAAGGTTGGGTAAATGCTCTAGATAAAGCCTGAGAGAGTTAAACTCTTGTGAACTGTGCTTATTCAAGGTGAATCATTGAACACTAATATTACTGCTGTTTAACAAATTTTATAGTTTTTTTTTGTGTAGTAATGTGTGCTTATTTTAGTAATGTATGCTTTTTCTCATCTTGGACCGTAGAGTTCTGATGGGTCCTCTGAACCTGTGCCTGTTTTAGTGGGCATCGTCTCTCACCTACTACTTACTGTACATGGCCCTTGAATGTTGTTCAGTGGTCATGTAGAGACCCAAGTGCATCAGTTCTGTAGTAACCTCACTCTCAGATTGTAAACACTGTTGTATACGACTGGGTATCTCGGTGCCTATATACAGAGATAGGTAGTGCCCAGAATGAACTACAGAAAAAAAGTGATGGGAGAAATGTTATCTTATTAGGAAACTTGAACTTTGAACCTCAGCGATTGGTGTTCTTGTATGCAGAAGAATTGCATTAAGCCTTGGAAATAAGCCACTTTTTCCTATGGTTAATAATGGTATAATGTTGATCTACCTATGATCAAAAACACTACTTGTTTTACATATAATACTGCATTTAGAGAATATATGCATACATATGTATATATCTATTTGTGCTGGTAACTGTGATGTTGGAACTAGTGAGGTATAGGACCTGCTGTGCTGTTACAAACTGAAACATTAAGCAAACTTCTATAACTGCTATTCCCGTCAGGACTTATTTATTTGTAAATGTCAGTCTGAGGGAATAGTATGCTATTGAAATTTCTGTAGTTCGTCTGTGTTGTTTTTGTCATGTGATGTGGCATTACGGCTGATAGTGGATAAGTGAAGGTTGGATGATTGCACTCCGTTACCTTTCAGTTACATCATTGTTCTAGTTGCAGTTGCAACAATGGTTGCCATTGATTTCTAGGATTCTTGACTCATAGACACTTTGATCTGCAGTTAGTAGAATCAGCTGTGTCCTTCAGAAATGGTCAAGCTGTTTGGCTCCTGTCACCAGCCTTGGCCTGCGAATGTTTATTCATAAATCAGATATGCTTGTTCTAGACAGAATCTTATGTGTGATCTGACTGGTAGTAGACTCTGTAAAAGGGTACTTCATAATTTATCATGATTATTCAAGACAAGAACATGATAATGCAAGTTCTCTATTGTGAACCAGTGACATCAGTCTTTACTGTGATGCAGTGATTTCCAGTCCTCTAGCTATAGTGTCATATAGCCATATCTGTTGTTACTCTGCCTGGCACTAAGATCTTAATTTAACATGTATTTATTTCTGTCAAGAAACCCTCCCTTGCCTGTTTGGATAAATGGAATAATGACTAATGTGAGCTAACTATTTAACACTTTTACAGAACTACTTGTGATACACAGTATCTGAACAGCATTCAGCTTGGGAAAAGCAGTCGTTCCCTTGTTGTATGTGGTCCTCCACATCACAAGCCGCCTCCTTCACCATGGTGACCTTTGCACTCTTACTTACCGGGAACCTGTGTCCAATCAGCAGCTGCTTCAGCAGCTGCTTCAGCTCTCACTTGTCCAGGGCATGAAAAGGACATGCAAGACCAGTGTTTCTCCCCCAGTCCTCAGGGAACCTCCAGACAGTCCACGTATTTGTTCCAGGAGCTAGAAGGGAACAAAAATTTGAACCATCTGGGGGTCCCCAAGAACCGGGTTGGGAACCACTGGTCTAGGTGTAGGTTAGTTTACCTGTAAATAAAAGCATGTGTACACTGGACAAATTCATTGTCTGAGCCCTTGTAGAGTAGTGGAAGGGCTTTTTGCTTTTCTCTTTAGTGCTTCAATGTTTACATGTCATGCCAGACAGACCTTAAAGTAGGCAGAACCTTTTCACCTAGAATATATGAGCCTCATTTTCAAATGTTACCAAATTGCCCTTTGTCTTTGTCCTCTTTCACCCTAGCTGCTTCCAGGACAAAGTCATCAGTGGCCTCAGCCTGCATGACTACAATCATGATGCTGACAATAGTTGTATCAGTCGTCTTCTTGTAGTGGCTGCCCACATCCTGGGTAACTTTATTACCTTATTTTTATACACAATCTGTGTTCCCGGTTACTAAACATTTATTTCTGGAGTAATTGGGATGAAGTACCTTATGTTAACATATTTTGCCAGTGACATAATCCATTGTTTCTACCAAGACTGAAAGTGTTATTTTAAATATAATTTTAAATGCTCAAAAAATGTATAAATATATACAAACGCTCCTCTACTTACAAACTTTGACATACGAACGAAGAGGACTGCAAGTCCAAATTGTGTTCCTTGGGCTCCTTTTCCTGTTCGCAACATCAATTTTTTTTTTCTGCATGCCACTTTCACCTAGCACGACTTCTGGCCGCTACTCCCACCCCGTAGCAGCGTAGCGTGCGTACTCCCAGCATCCTAGTTCTTTGTACTTGCATATACCCTTAAAATGATGTTGAATAACAACTTACAAACATTTCAAGTTATGAACAGCCGTTCGCAACGTAACTCAATCATAAGTAGAGGGGTGTCTGTATAATAAATTGGTGTTCTATGATTTTAAAAGTTTCTGTTTGTGCTTTAAGTTCTCAATAAATCAATTCTGAATGTTCAGATTGGGAATGATTTTTCTCCTTATGATATACAGTAACACTCTAACAACTGTTGGAAGATGGAAGATAATTAGTGATCTACAGTAATTTGGGTACACTTAAGACTCGTAAAAAAAATGTATGATAAATGGAGATGAGTAACCAGTTATGTCACAAAAGAACAATTATTATGATACACAGTAGGGCTGCACGATATTGGGGAAAAAAATTACATTGCGATATTTATTCTTTCTGCGATATATATTGCAATATTGGGATTTTAAAAAATCTAATTAGTTTAATAGCTGTATTGCAGGGGTATTCAGCTAAAATTTAAAGAGGTCCAGTTACAGAAAATTTCTTGAAGCAAAGGTCCGGAAGATCATAATGTCGAACTATTTAGTGTGATGTATATTTAAGTAGCCTATTGGTTGTATCAACATTGTATGTAATCAGTATCTCACTGTCAAGTTAATTCAGTACAATTCAATTCAAGATGTCTGCATAGATATGTAATAATTCTTACCTTGTAAATAGTCTGCTTTTGTATTTAACAGTGTAAATATACTTTTGACGTAGCTTATTTTAGGTTTATGCTAAAAATGTTGAAAATGTACAATTTTTGTTTCACCTGAGTTGATTTATATAACAGATAACATTACTTTATACAGTTGTTAAAAAGCGGAAACTTCCACGAACATGAAATCACCAATAAACTATGTCTATTTATCCAACATGTTATATAATACATATTGTGTTTTGGAAACTTTTCAGCTGTATGATTTCAGGACAGGTCAGCTACTTTGTTAAGAGCATTGCGGCTATTTGGTCGCTTTGCTGCTGATATCAACACGAATGGCACATTAGGACGGACAAAGGGCTGCATACACCAAACTACGTGGTTAAAAGCGTTTGCTAAACCACTACCGAAAAGACTACAAACGCTGTGCTGGTTAAAAGAGAAGCGTCCTGTCAGGTTTTAAATCATAAGTTTCTTTTTTGGCTATTGGTCCAGGTCTGTATGGGACAGCTTCTGGGTCTGGACCCCGACCGCGGTCCGCCTGTTAGTGACCTCTGCTCTATTGG